ATAGATAGTGAAAATCAGGGACCTTGCCAAGCCCTTTATTAATATATTATGTTGAGACTGTGGTCTCACTTTGCTGAAGATAATTCAAAAACAGTTTCAGCAATATATTGACATGGAACTGCCAAAAAACCAAGCTGGATTCAAAAGAGGATATGGAGCTATGAATATCATTGCTAATGTCAGATGGATCTTACAGAAAGCAAATAATAACCAGAAATAAGTTTACCTGTGTTTTATTGACTATGCAAAGGAATTTGACTCTGTGGATCATAACAAATTATGGATAACATTGTGAAGAACGGGAATTCCAGAATACTTTATTGTGTTCATGAGAAACCTGTACATAGACCAAGAGGGCATTGTTTGAACAGGACAATGAGATACTGCATGGTTTAAAATCAGGAAGAGCATACATCAGGGATACAACCTGACACTGAGCAAATAATCCAAAAAGCTGCCCTATATGAAGAAGAATGCAGAATCAGGGTTTGAGGAAGACTCATTAACAACCTGCGATGTGCAGACAACACAACCTTACTTGCTGAAAATGAAGATGACTTGAAGTACTTACTGATGAAGATCAAAGACTGCAGTCTTCGGTATGGATTACACTTTAACAAAGAAAACAAAAATCCTCACAACTGGACAAATAAGCAACATTATGATAAATGGAGAAGAGATTGAAGTTGTCAAAGATTTCATTTTACTTTGATCCACAATCAACACCAATGGAAGCAGCAGACAAGAAATCAGATGTCATATTGCACTGGGCAAATCTCCTGAAAAAGACCTCTTTAAAATGTTAAGAAGCAAAGATGTCACTTTGAAGACTAAGGCGTGCCTAACCCAAGCCATGGTATTTTCAGTCACCTCATACACATGTGAAAGCTGGACAGTGAATAAAGAAAACCAAAGAATCGATGCCTTTGAATTATGGTGTTGGTGAAGAATACTGAAAATACCATGGACTGCCAGAACAACGAACAAATCTGTCCTGAAAGAAGTGTAGCAAGAAGGAATGCTCCTTAGAAGTAAGAATGGCTAGACTTCATCTCACCTACTTTGGTCATGTGGTCAGAAGGGACCAGTCCTTGGAGAAGCTGATCATGCTTAGTAAAGTGGAGGGCCAGAGAAAAAGAGGAAGACCCTCAACAGGATAGACTGGCACAGTGACTACCACGATGGGGTCAAGCATAGCAAAAATTGTGAGGCTGGTGCAAGACCAGTAGTGTTTTGTTCTGTTGTACATAGGGTTGCTACAGGTTGAAATCGTCTCAATGACACCTAACAACATGGTCTTATCTAATCCTCACAACACCCTTGAAAGATGATTATTAACTTTTCTCAACTTCAGATGAAACTGAAGCTTACTCACTAGGTCACATATGGGGTAAAAATGGCAGATCTGAGAATTTAATCTATTTTTCACAGATTTTTTTTTCTCTTCATTGTGTGTAACTTTTTGGATTTTTTAAATGTTTGTACAGTAAAGTCTCATTTCTCCATTAGAAAAAGTTCAAGTCAAAACAAGCAAAAAGGAAAGAAGAGAAATTATCTGCTACTACACTTTCTACTTGAATACTTCATAGAAAGAAAAGCAAAGGAGATAGTTACTGCTTGAGAACCGTCGACATTATTAGCCAGGCCTCATGTATGCATGGAGTCTCGGAATCAGCCTGCCTGAGCTAGCCTGCAAGGTGGTGTGTTCAAACCTATTGAGGATCATTCAGTTTGACTGATAAATGTTGAAAAGGGGAGATTTGAAACTCCAAAGGATTCAGACTAGAATGTAACAAGATGAGTGACTCAGATGACTAAAATGGACAGAGCATAATTTATCTTTGTACACAAGAAGTGCAGAAATACTGTAGTAATTCATGAAAATACATACCTCTAGCCTATCCTTTCATGGCCTCAAGAAAGAAGTGAGTCATGGAAGATGCCAGAAGAGGCTATTTCCTCACTGGTGGACTCTGAGACCTTTAATTGATTGCCTTCACTTTGCTTGGACACAGGTGTGCATTCTTGGTCCATTAAGCACTGTTTCCATCAAAGGTCACTTTCCTCTCTGGAAAGTCAGTCTTAGAGCAGAGCATGGAGTGTTTTGTTGCATCTTAAATTCACAGATTTATGGGTTGAACCACAAGCTACAGTAAATACTCCCTTAGCCATGTGTTCTCCTGGGTTCACAGGCATCTCTTGCTTTTGAAAGGAGATGATTTCAAAGCTCTCACACATCAGTGAGTGATCAAGCTTGATTGAAATAAAGCAAAGAGGGAATGTTCTACATCAATGGGATTTTTATTCATAGGATAAATTGAAAATTAAAATAAAAACAGCCAGGAACTTAAGCTGAAAAATGCATAAGCTCACAGTGAGGAGAGTTTTTGTTTGTTTGTTTCTCCCCATTCCTGATTTCTTTCCAGATAAAACAGTTATCACTTAATAAATATGTATTCAGTAGCCATGTTGTGTGTCCCAGGCACTATCTTGGGGTTTGATTATGAATCAGGAAGGTTTCCGTCTTTAGATTATTCTTTAGAAATAAAAAGTTTTGTCAAGTCACTAAGCAAGCTCAGGGGAGAGTGACTTGATACCAGTGTGTTGCACTAAGTTTTTTTTATGATTATTTTTTAGGAGGGAGAGTTGTAGAATAAATTAGTTTTTACTCATCCCCTGATTTGCAGCTTTTTAAGTGAGTCCCTGGGTCTCAGTTTCCTCTCTTCAGGAAGGCAGCATACAAATCCCTGCCTTGAAGATCTCTCAGGGATGATGTGAGTATAGCACAGTGATGGCTGCAAAGCCCTTTGAAGTCCACTGGCAGGATTCAGTCCTTGTCCTGGAGATGCCTGCTTTGAGGTCAGGGACTAGCAAAGATCCCCGGACAGTCCATGCTCAAAGACCAACATTTTGTTGGTCAGTTTAAAGTGCCATTGGATGGAAAAGTTACAGATGGAGCAGTTTGGTGGAAGTATGGATGGATTTTTCAAAATATCTAGAAATTTAGTGTTATGTAGCTGCCAAAAGGGCAAGGAGGCCATATCTTCTGACCTCCTCTAACCCCACAAGAAGAAGACAGAATCATCATCAGTAGTCCAAGGCCTATCCCTGTGAGGCCAGACATACCACCTCTCTCCAGCCCTTTCATCAACCCTGGCACCAACCGTTCCTCCCACAGCACCCACCACCTCTCTGCTGGGTTTGATAATTTGCTGCAGTGGCCACACAGAACTCACAGATTATGGGGTTTATTAGGGAAGCTACAGGCCACAATTCAAGTTCAGGAACACTCTCAGTCTCTCTCAGCCTACCATCTCTCTTAGCAGCCAGCAGTCTCTCTCAGTGTGTCTCTCTAGGTCTCTTTTTCAGCAATGCATGTCTCCTGTGTCTGTCTCTCAGCAATGTGTGTCTCTTGCAGCTCTCTCTCAGAAAGTGTGTGTCTCTCAGGAGCATGTTTCTCTCGGTAGCACATCTTTCTCAGCAGTCCGAGAGACTCCTTCTGTGTCTAGGAGGGCTCCTTTTGAGCCTGGCAGAGTGGCCAAACTAACCAATCCCAACAACAGAATTCTATACACCTGAGAGAGGGAGAACTTTTCAGAAGATTGTTTTGTGCCACTTGTAACAGAAATGCCCCAGGTGGATAACTTTAACAATCAGGAGCTCCTCAGTTGCTCGTGGCAAATTCCACCATGGAGTTTACAAAGACTTAGGGCTAGAAAAGCCATACTAGGTAATTTACTACAACACAGTAGCCATTAGGTGTGGTTTGTGATTACTGAGATGAAAGGACTGTTTCTTACTGATATGATTCCTGAAGGACTGTCCTTGCAGAATACCTGCAAAGGTGATTTAGTTGCCAGTGTTTGTTGTGCCCTAAAGAATGTAGAGGGAACATTGGGATGGGGAATCTGCCAACCCTTCTTCAATGTGTATTAAGGGATTCACCTAACTCTTTAGAGAAGGGTGTCTTCCCATCTCTGATAATCTGCCCACCTTTAAATTTCAGGAAAGGTCCTATATGTGTGTGTGTGTGTGTGTGTGTTGATTGCCTGGTTTTTAATGTGATTCCACCTGACACTAAACACAACACAACCCACTGCCATCAAGTCATTTCTGGCTTACAGTGACCTTATAGAACAGAATAAAACTGCCCCATTGGATTTCCAAGGCTGTAAATCTACAGGTGCAGACTGCCTCATCTTTCTCCAGCAGAGTGGCTGATGGGTTTGAACTGTCAACCTTTTGGTTAGCAGCCAAGTGCTTTCTTTAACCACTGTGCCACCAAGAGTTTGGGTTATAATGAGTATTTTCAAAATATGAAGGGAAAGATACATTATAACAAACTTAATGGATTTCAGAGGCTATGTAAAGGTTCTACATTAATTTACTAGCATAAAAAACCCTAGGAAAGAGATAATATTATTATCTCAAGTAAAAATTAGATGACTTGTTTAAATCATTGTGATCTTGGTGGATCCCATTATCCGAATGTTGGAAACTCAGACACTCTTCACTTTTACAATTTCATGGTCCATATTTTCAACATAGTAGTCTGTCAGTGATGCAAATAGTTAATATGCTTGGCTGCTAACTGAAAGGTTGGAGGTTCAGGTTCACCCACAGAAACCTTAGAAGAAAGGCCTGGTGTTCGACTTCTGAAAAATCAGCCACTGAAAGCCCGGTGGAGCACAGTTCTTCTCTGACACATGGGGTTTCCACGAATCAGAGTCCACTCAACAGCAACTAGTTCATTTTAAGTTTGTGAAGAGTGAATGGTTGCTTCTGGAGCCCAGCAATCTCTGGGAGATGCATATTTATCTCCAGGAGACGAGTACCCATAGAAAACACAAGGAAACACAGAAGCCAAGTGTAAAGGTAGAAAAAAGCAATGTTAGCTGCACAGTTCAGTTTCTACTGGGCCTGCCCTTGTTTGTTACAAACCTGTCATGGAACCAATGTATCTTTTCCCACTGAGACTAACAGCTTTCTCCCTTTTCCAGTGTTCTGTTTCCTGTGGTGGTGGAGTGCGGATCCGCCGTGTGACATGTGCCAAGAACAGTGATGAGCCTTGCGATGTGACAAAGAAACCCAACAGCCGAGCTCTGTGTGGCCTTCGGCAATGCCCATCTAGCAGGAGAGTTCTGAAGCCCAACAAAGGTACAATCTCCAATGAGAAAAACTTCCCAACACCTGAGAAAGACCCCTTAAAACCCATCCTTCCACCTACATCTAGTCCAAGAACCCTGACCACACCTACGGGGCTAGAGCCTATGAGTACAAGTGTGACAATCAAGAGCCCTGGTCCCACCACAACTTTCCAACAAGACCTGAATAGGAAACAGTGGCTAAGTACCTCAACTCAGTCTGAACTGGATTCTCATTATCTCAGTTCTACCGGAAGTACTTCTCAGCCCATGTTCACTTCCTGGTCTTTGAGTATCCAGCCAAATGAAGAGAATGTTTCCAATTTGGACACTAGTCCTACCCCTGAGGTAGACCTTTTAGCCACAACAGCAAGTGGCTCTGATGTTTCATCTTCCAGCAACTCTGTGACTAGGCAGGTAACTCCATACTATGATACTTTGACCAGAGAGCCAGAAATGGAGATTCATAGTGGCTCAGGCGAAGACAGTGAACAACCTGAGAACAAAGAAGAAAGTAACCCTGTAATATGGGCAGACAACAGAGTACATGGAAGTGATGCCCCAGTGGTAAGAAGTACAAAAACACCACTTGGACCTCTGCCACCACCTTATGTCAGAGAGGAGTCCTTCAGCACAGTGATGGAAGGACTGCTACCCAGCCAAAGGCCCACTCCTCTCAAAAATGGTACACCCAGACTTGAGGGGATGTTCACTAAAAATACAGCTAAGACTCCACTCTCTGTGGGAGAAGATGACCAACCTGCACCCTCAGAAAAGTCAGTAAACCATAACCATCTAGAACCGACAAGCAACATGAATCTCACACAAAGTTCTGGACCAGTCGTGACAGAAGAGGATGCAATGAGCCTGATTGCTGAGGGGTTTTTGCTAAATACTTCTAATTACAAGCAGCTCATGACAGGCCACAGCCCTGCCTACTGGATTGTTGGAAACTGGAGTGAGGTAGGAGGTCTATTTCTTACCCTATGTCTGAGTCTACAGGGAAATAACTAAGAGTATTGCATTCTTGTGTAAATTTCAAAATGAACTTGTAATAAAATGTAGTCTAATGTGGAAAAAACTTGAAGTAATCAGGTTCATGCCCTCCCTGTCCTTTCTTACCTCCCTACCTCCTCAACTGGGAAAAAAAAAAAAAAAAGTCTCCAGGGGAAGAGAACAAATGTAGTGAGACAGTGTGGAAAGAACGTTAAACTAAGGCAGGAGGCCCGGGTCAGGCAGCTGTGTGATTGTGGATAATTCAGCCCATCTTTCTGAGCCTGCCTTTTAGCTATAGAACAGTAGGGCTAGGGTCATGGTGATGGTTGCTAGGTGCCATCAAGTCAGCTCTGATTCATAGCAACCCTGTGTACAACAGAACAAAACACTGCCCAGTCCTGTACCATTCGCATCATCTCTGCTCTGCTTGAGCCCATCATCACAGCCACTGTGTCAAGCCATCTCATTGAGGTCTTCCTCTTTTTTCACTGACCCTCTACTTTACCAAGCAGGATATCCTTCTCCAGGTACTAGTCCCTTTTGACAGTATGACCAAAGTTCATGAGACAAAGTCTGGCCATTCTTACTTCAGAGGAACGTTCCAGCTGTACTTCTTCCAAGACAGATTTGTTCATTCTTCTGGCAGGCCACAGTATTTTTGGTATCCTGCCAACACCACAAATGAAATGCATCAATTCTTCTGTGGTCTTCCTTATTCTTTGTACAGCTTTCACATTCATATGAGGCCATTGCTATTGAAAACACCAGGGCTGGGGTAGATCATCTCTAATATTTCTTCCAACTCAAAACTGCAATAACCCTGTGATCAAAGATAACGGAAAGGGCTTGAGTTTTCATTTCAATCAAAAAGCAAATATTGAGAGCCTGGTTTAAGCCTGTCAAGTAATCACAATTGGAATAGAAATCAAAGCAGGACTTGTTACAGAATTCTGTATCTCACTATTGTCAATGTTGGACTTTTTTTTTTTAGGGGTGGGGTTATTTGCATATATATATGAGAGAGGGAGAGTGCTCTGGTGGTATGATGGTTAAGGCATTTGGCTGCTAAAGAAAAGCTCTGTAGTCCAAACCTACCAGCTGCTCTGTGGGAGAAAGATGGGGCAGTCTGCTTCTATAAAGATTTACAGCCTTGGAAACCCAGTGGGGGTCACTATGAATCAGAATTGACTTGATGACAGTGATATATGTGTGTGTGTGTGTGTGTGTGTATACACACATATATTTTTTGTTGTTGTTGTTATGTGCCATCAAGTTGGATCTGACTCATAGCGACCCCTCCTTGGGTTTCCAAGGCAGTATCACTACAGAAGTAGATTGCCCTATCTTCCTTCCAAGGAGTGGATGGTGGATTTGAACTGCCAGCCTTCCGGTTAGCAGTCAAGTGCCTTAGCCACTATGCTACCAGAGCTCCTATACATACATATATATATCTCCTTGGATGAATTAGAGTATAGAGGAGGCAGAAAATAAATGTGATGACAAAGTGTTAGCCCCAATTTTCAGATTCATAAATTAGGTTAGATAATTGTTTTTCCATTTCTGGAACTAATTATGTCCTTTGAAACATAAAAGTCATCATTTCTCACCCATTTGTAATTGGATTGTACAACATGTGAACTTGGTAGACTAATTGGATAGCTCAGAGGACAGTGGCAGAGTGATCACATGTTCAGGTTAGCCAGCATTTTTATGACATTTCATGATTCATTTCCCTAGCTAAAGAGAAGTGAACTATCTGCAGCAAAAATAAAGGTAAAAACACCTTAATTTATAAAACACATTAGTTTTCAAGCCACTTTCATATGTAGTCTCTTCTCCTTCTAACAGTCATAGGGACTAGGTAGGGTCTCATTATCCATTTATTTTTGCCAGTTTACAAATATAGAAACTAAGATCTTTTAAAAGATTAAGTGACTTGTCTGATAACACACTCTTCAATGCCATATGCTGGGTCTTCTGAGTCTTTCCACTCTAATCAGTTGTCTCTCTAGTGAATTTCAGCACCAATTGACAACCACATAAAATGCTTTGGTAGAACTGATCAACATCATTGGTCACATTGACTATAGTGGCAATAAATAGAGAAATACAGACCTCCAATTTTTTTTTTGTAACAAATGCTAAAAATGCTAAAATTTGGATTTTACTAGTATTTTCACATTGATTTATGTTTGATTTCTAAAGTGATTAATTACATTGACTTTCAAAGAAACAACATTTTATCTTCACAAGCAAGTAAAGAACCTAAGCTCAGGAGGAAAAATGATTTTCATGCTTAGAATAATTCAATTTGTTGAAAGAAGGAGAAGGAATGGGTCTCATGCTCCTGAAGAATTTACTCAGATTTTCTTTCCTAATCAGTTCTAAAGGGCTCTTTAAGATAAGGAGAATGTTGCCAAGAAGCATTTATAAAATATGTACCATGACGCAGATTTTATGCTAATTTACATATGTTCTCTCATTTCATGATCATCAAAGCCCAACTAGAATGGTAATATTTTCTCTATTTCAGAGATGGGGAAGTTGAAGCTGAGAGAGGTTAAGTAGCTAGCCAACATCTCACACTCTAAGGCATAATAAATCAGGGATTGAATTTGAACCTAAGCAAACCCAGCCAACAATCCATTGCTCTGCAAACCAGAAAGCATCATCACTCCTTCTGCATTTTCCTCTGTTTCTTCTTTGCTTCTATGGCAGATGTGGTGGTTAAGTTTGTGTGTCAGCTTGGCTGGGCCTGGTTGAGTGGCTGGGCAGCTGGATGGACTATTCCCCATGATGAGACTGGTAATTAATTCCATAGTCAAATGTACTGGAGCAGCTGAGTAGTTGCCTTAGGGATGCGGTCTGCTTCCTGGATATAAAGAGAAGCCTTGGGAATGGTCTTTCACTCGTGGCACACTTGAACCCTGCATGTAGCCAAGTCATCATTCAGCAGCTTGCCATGCTCTGCCAATATTGGGAATTTTAATGGACTTGAATTAATGGCCTTGCCGTGTGGTTTGGTAACCTTGGGACTGTGCCTTGTTACTTGATGTCCTTGGGTTTGTCAGCCTCAGCAGCTAACAGCTGAGTGAAACAAGCCTCCGACTTCAGTGGGCCTGGAGCAGGAGGCAGAGCTGAAGCCCAAGGTTGAGGGGCTTTCACCCAGTCCCTAGAGCCTGGCGCTTTGAACTCAGACTTTAAGCCTCCAAGTAAGAGAATAAACTCCTGTTTCTTCAAGCCACCCCATTTGTGGTATATTCCTGTCAGAGTGGCACTAGGTAAGCAGAACAGCATGTAAAACTAATGCCAGCGATGTGATCCTGGATAGACAGATGAGAATGCCTTGTAGTTCGCCAAACAGTAATTTAAAATAACAGAGGGCCCTTTGGCTACTTGGAGATTTGCCTGGGCAAACAGCTTCTATGATATAGCCACAGTGGGTTCAGACTGTTGTTGTTCTTAGGAGCCATTGAGTTGGCTTTGACCATAACGACCCTATGTACAACAGAACGGAACACTGCCGGTCCTGTGCCAGCCTCACAATCCTTACTATATCTGAGCCCATCATTGCAACCACTGTGTCAGTCTATCTCCTTGAGGGCCTTTTTCACTCACCCTCCACCTTACCAAGCATGACATCCTTCTCCAGGGAATGGTCCCTTCTGACAACATGACTAAAGTAGGTGAAATGAAATCTGGCTAAGCTTGCTTCCAAGGAACATTCCAGCTGCACTTTTTCACAGATCTGTTAGTTCTTCTGGCCATGATTGTGATTTTCAGTATTCTTCACCAACACCACAACACTCAAAAGCATCAACTCTCCTTCAGTCTTCCTTATTCATGGTCCACTTTTCACATGCATGAAGCGATTGAAAATATCATGGCTTGGATTAGACACACCTTAGTCTTCAAAGTGACATCTTTGCTCTTCAGCACTTTAAAGAGATCTTTTGCAACTGATTTGCCCCATGCAATAATCATCTGATTTCTTGACTGCTGCTACCATTGGTGTTGATTGTGGATCCAGGTAAAATTAAATCTTTGATAATTTCAGTCTCTTCTCCATCTATCATGGTGCTGCTTATTGGTCCATTTGTGAGGATTTTAGTTTTCTTTATATTGAGGTGTAATCCATACTGCAGACTGTAGTCTTTAATCTTCATCAGTAAGTGCTTCGAGTCATCTTCACTGTCAGCAAGCAAAGTTGTGTTGTCTACATATCACAGGTTGTTAATGAGTCTTCCTCCAATCCTGATGCCTCATTCTTCTTCATATATCCCAGCTTCTCAGATTATTTACTTATCATAAAGATTGAATAGGTATGGTGAAAGTATACAATCCTGATACACTCCCTGTGGAATCATCTTTCTTTGGAATGGGTACAAATATGGATCTCTTCCAGTCATTTGGCCAGATTTCTTGCCATAGATCAATAAGTGCCTCCAATACGGCATCTGTTTATTGAAACATTTCAATGGGTATTCCATCAGTTGCTGGGCCTTGTTTTTCACCAATTCCTTTGGTGCAGCTTCAACTTCTTCCTTCAATACCATCAGTTCTTGATAATATGCTGCATCCTGAAATGGGTGAACATTGACCAATTCTTTTTGGTACAGTGACTCTGTGTATTCCTTCCATCGTCTTTTGATGTTTGCTACAGCAGTCAATGTTTTGCCCATACAATCTTCCATTATTGCAACTCAAGGCCTGAATTTTTCCTTCAATTCTTTCAGCTTGAGAAATCTGAGCGTATTCTTCCCTTTTGGTTTCTAATTCCAGGTCTTTGTCCATTTCATTATAATAATTGACTTTGTCTTCTCAAGCTGCTCTTTGAAATCTTCTGTTCAGCTCTTTTTATCGTGTCATTTCTTTCATTTGCTTTAGCTACTCTCCATTCAAGAGCAAGTTTCAGAATCTCTTCTGACATCCATTTTGGTCTTTTCTTCCATTTCTGTCTTTTTAAT